TGTGTCATCCACGTCACCTCATTAAAACCACACAAACAAAAAAGGTCAAGAGATTAACCGGTTTCAAAAGTAACAGGTTACTCATTGCTATAATAGGTAAATTTTTTAAAATGTGATGCCTTAATAAAAAATAATTTAAAAATACATTGTATTAATAAAGAAAAACAAAAATAAAATGTTATAATAAGAACGTTTATGAAAATAGGTTGCTATTTAATGAATTTAATCCTATAATATATAGGATTTTGAAAAACAATTTAAAGTAACGTTTGAATAAAATTACTATTTTTGTTTCTTTTCAATTATGACTTTTATATTATGTTATTTATCTTTTAACATATTTTTTCAGTTATATATCTAACTATTGCGGGTTTTATTACCTTTTCATTCTTGTGATATTTTTTATCCCTATGGTTTATAATTCATTTCTATTTTAGTTCTTCATACTTAATAATAATGTTTTGGACTCAGCCACTCAGGAATAAAAATAGAAATAAATTATAAATTATAGAGACAAAAATCAAAATTTTAAAACCAAAAGGATAAAACTTGATCACCAAGAAAAGATAAAGGAACTTATCCAGAATAGTAGAATGTAGGTTTTTTTTATTAATATTTATACTCTTTTATTTAGCTTTATATATTTTTTATAGAGTAAATTACATCGTTAGTCTTTGTGATTGGTTCATAAAGCATCGTAAATCCATTCGACAACCAAACATATTCCATGATACATCTTTAGTATAAACGTTAATATCATTTGAGGTTAAAAGACTGATTTTTTAGAATAACACTTTATATGAATTAATATAAATCAGTTGTGTTTCCATGTCACATCATTCTAATGTTTTCATAACCATTTTAATTAGGGTTAAAATAAATTTTTTAGAAACCACAATCTTATAGTCAAAAGTATAGTTTGAGATATTATTCTTATTTTAGAATGATACTCACGCAATGCAACTCGATATATCTCGATAATGTTATAATCCGGTTTTATTTTTTCTCTTCAGAAAACGATGATGTTTATGTTTGAATAAAATATAAATTTGAAGACCTCATAAAAAAAATGAAAAATATATCGATATTAGTATTAAATTAACTATTTAAAAGTTCTCATTTTTATGTAATTTGTTTAATTCAATTTTTTTATTATAATTTAATAAGGAAATAAATTATTTTTGGTTTAATAATACAATTTTTTATAAGACTAGAAATGTCCTTGCACAATGTAGCAAGATATATCTCAATATTAGTGTTTTGTTTTATTTCGTCTCTGTAGATGTTTTGATACGGTTTTTATGTGGTTTTGAGAAAGGGATAATGTTTTTGTTTTTGAATAAAATATAAATTTGAAGATATATTATAAAATTTCGAAAATAAATATATCAATATTAGTATCAAATTAATTATTTAAAAGTTCTGTTTTTTTGTAATTTCTTTATTTTAATTTTTTTATTATAATTTAATTTAAATTTAGTAACGAAGTAATTTATTTTTGATTTAATAATATAATTTTTTATAAGGATAATGATTAAGTATTTTGTTAAAACTCAATGATTATCTTAATTATATTTTAGATTTTTTAGATTTAAAATGAGATGTTTATCATGTATTTGATTATGTTTATCTGCAATTAGTTATACAAAATCAAAAATGAAACTTTAATAAGTTGTACTTACGTACAATTTACTTGTAATCTTAGATTTTAAGTAATATGCATTAATACACATTACTTTATGATTTTTAAAAGTTTTTGTCATATACTTTATGATATAGTATAGATTATGACACACAAATTATATATTGGACATTTGGACCTAAAGTCACTAAATGCAACTATGCAAGGCCCAAAGTTAATTGGGCTTACAAGTCCAAAAGAGAATGTAGGTTGGGCCCAAATTTTGACAGTTAATCCCTTGAATAGTTGAATACTCGGATGAGATAACTTAGCCTTAGGTATGTGTGGTAATGAGTCATGGGTGGGATGGTTAATAGGTATGGGCAATGATGATATCATGATGCATGCATGATAGATGATGGATGTCAGAAGAAGATGCAAATGCAATGTATAAACTAAGTGGCTGGATAACTAGTTAGGGGAAGAACCAAAAACACTTATCCATCAATTTTTCTCCACAGCATGGTATTCATGCATGACCCATCATGTGTTTTGAATGCATATATATGTATGATGCATATCATGATGTCATGTACGGTTGATTTCCGAGCGATCGGTGCGGAAGTATTTTTAAAAAATATTCATCCAAGCAAAATACTCGATCGAACAAGTTGAATTAAAAAACACAGACCAAGGTCTTAAGAACATTCACAAATCTGAATCCATGTAGGTGTCTTATCAAATAGTCAAAGGAAATCTAATAGAGAATCCATGATTTATAATTATAATGTTTTAATGTATTTATTAAAAATATTATTTCTATTTATTACATATTTAAATTTAATATCTTTTATTGATGGGAAATTTTTAAAATTCTGTTTCTATCTGTTAAATAGAGTTTTAGAGATTTTTCCAAATTTAAACATTTTCAATTTACCATATCAATTTAATAAAACTGTTAAAACGATAATTTTTAAAAATATTTAAAATATTTATTTAACATAGCTATTGGATATAAAGGTAGGTGGGAGGTGAATGCATAGCTAGTTTGACCAATCAAAAGACAATAGTGTGTATATATATATATATATATATATATATATATATATATATATATAGAGAGAGAGAGAGAGAGAGAGAGAGAGAGAGAGAAAGAGAGAGAGAAGTGAGTTATTATACAACTTCTTACATTTGTACAACTTAATTTCAAATATCCATTTAATTTGATGAATATGTAATTTCATAGAAGTTTTGATTGTTTCATAATATAAAGTATTGATCATAATTAATGAACTTTATTCATCTTCCATAAATATTTAAATCATAATAAATGAACTCTCATCATTTCTATAAATATTTTAATTTATAGGATTGCATTGGTTGTACAAATACAACGGGTTGTATTTGAAACAAACTATATATATATATATATATATATTAATTGTTTAGGTTATCTTCTTCTTCTTGTTGTTGGCTTTTTGAATTTGGATAGGTAGCACTTAATTGGATTCTCTTTCTCTTTCTATTTGGTGCATGTCCCATGATCCTTCCGACATCTACATTCCAATCATCTTACTCTTCTTTTGGAAACAAACCATTCTCTCTACATCTCTCTCTCTACATATCTATACATATTATCTATACATATTATATATATATATATATATATATATATATACATACGTATAGGGACGGGGTCTGTTGGAAACCTAAAATTGGTTAGAAACTTGAGAACCGTCCACAATAAAACATGAGATATTCATCAATAATATAGACGTGTTTTTAGCATGAATGTTGTAACATTTTCAGTATAAATGTCTGATTAATGATAAATAACATGGCCATACAAATTTCATGTGATTCATAATATAAGACTTATGTATTCATAATGAATGAAAGGACATATTGCACTCTTATTTGTCTCATAATTCACAATGAAAATCAGGTTTCTAATTGAACTTCCTTCTTTATGTACATAACACTTTCACGTGATAATGCACAAAAAAGCACATAACGTTTATACAAACTATATAATAAAAGATATTATTATTTATTTATTTATTTATTGAAAGGAAAAATAAAAGATATTACTAATCAGTGATTCTAAAACTGTATAAAGTATTGGCTGTTAAGAGATGAATCTATTTTTAGTAGCCAGTCAAAAATTACCAAATTAAAACAGGAAAATAACATATAAGATTATTTTCTAAATAAAAGTGTGAAAATTAGATATTTTTTTGATAATATGTATTTTTATTTATTATAACTTAAATAAATAAAAACGAAAAAATCACAAAAAAAAAAAAAGTAGCTTGAAATTGATTATCAGCCCCAAATAAAGGATTCAGAGCCAAAAGTTGGGCCAAATCGTCGTAGACTTTAATGGATCAAAAGTAATTGCCGTTCCAAAAAAGTGGATGAAAAGTAATTGTTGTTTCAAATATACGATTATTTTCCGGCCTTTCTTTCTTTCTTCTATTGGCTTATGATTGCATCCGTTAATTATTTGATTTGATCAGCATCACGTATGTATATATATATAGACAAAAGTTGCATAGATAATATAATCTTGATCGCCATTTGAGATATAATTATACTTTAAAAGGTAAACCTTAAATGTGAAGATCAAATTGATATCCTTCTATTTATTTTAAAACGGTCATCGAAATGAGTTGTATGTTAACATTTATATTCAAGATTTGATGTGTATATACTATTCTTTTTTATAGATTCTGATACGGAGTTTTAGAAACACATAATCAAGACAATATACTGATAATAGATAGAATCCAAAGTCAGTATAATAGTTGAAAAAACAGATATAAAGTCTTGGTTCTTCTTTCGCTTACATACATACTCTTACATTATCGATTATATTCACACACTACAACAAAATTAATTTTAACAGGACTTTTAAAATGTTTAAGCGTCTTGATAGAATATTTTATCTAACTTAAGTTTATGGACCAAAATATAAAGTGTCCTATCTAAAAATTGTTACAACAAACTTTTTAGCGTTTTAGCAAGTTTTTTAGACCTTTTTAGTTTTAAATTAAATGTTATATTAGCTATTTTATATGACAGTATTGATAAACTCATCTTTTTATTGGACACTTGTGTTTATAGAAAACATTGTTAAATAGTGTCTTATAAAATAACTAATATAACATTTTATATTAAAAACATCATCCATAACTTATTAAAACACAGACGTCTTATAAACCGAAAAATTGATGTCATTTATACCAAATTTTATTTGTGTTAATCCACAATCACAAATTAATCAAACCCGTTTACAAATATCAACACCCCCGTCTTCGTGAATTCATCTCAAAACCTAATCACCCATTATATATAAATATAATTTCATGGTTAATTACGAAAATACCCTCCATCCCATCTCCATCACTTGAGCAACTCCATAGACCCCACCATCTGATCAGCAGCAGGCTCACCGCAGGCTCTAATTACATTGGCATAATTAACACCACCATGATGATGGTTCATGGCGGTGGTGGGGCTGCAGAACCCGGCAACGTTGCTGATCCCGGTTGTCGTCCCTCCGCCACCTGCGGCCGCCGCTGCCGCCTGTTCCAATGATTGAACTTGCTTTTTCAAGAACTTCATATAATGAACAGCTTCATCTAGCATCGAAGCAGTATCCATCTTCGTACCACCTGGCACTAATCTTTGCAGTATCCTAATCCGCTCACTAATCCTCTCCCGCCGGTGTCTCGCCGCCACGCTCTGTGGATCCTTCGATATCTTCACGTTACGTCTCTTCGGCGGCTTAACGGATTCCGGGTCGATTTGGATCGGCTGCAATGCCGCCATTCGGAATATCATCTCTCTCATCGCCTCCACCGAATCCGGCTTCTGCTGTAACCAGCTGGGACGTGGGAAATCGTGTGAAACCCTAAACTGCGGTGGCGGAATTGCTGGCGATTCTGGGGTAGGGTAAGTGGGGTGGTGTTGAAGATAATTAGGTGGTGGTGGTGGACGGTGGTTATTGGTGGAAGAAGTTCCGGCGGAGAAGTTTAAATCCATGAGGGATGAATCGGAATTAAGATGTTGGAAAGGGAGAGAAAATGGGTTTGGAAGTTTGTCAAGTTCCATCATCATTGTTGTCATCATCTCCATGTCTAAAGAATTAGGGTTTATGATGAATAGCAGCTAAATGAAACAGTGGAGGATTGTGTCAGTAGGAGTGTAAGGGTATAAATATATAACAACTTCACCCCCTCAATATTTTACTGTTTTTATCACCATCCCCACCCCCACAAATTTATGTCCATGGCACATACATACATATATATATACATACATACATATATATACATACATACATACATACATATATATACATACATATATATACATATACATACATATATATATATTTAGTATTATTTATATCATCCTTCTGGATCCATAAATTTTGATGATAGTGTCAGAATTTTGTTTTTTTATTTATATACATTTATATAAACAAAATACAAATCGTTCTATTTAAATGTGTTATAATAAGTTTGGATAACGTTTTTAGACATCTTAACAAGTTTTTTAAGACACTTTTAATACAAGGTGTTGCATCAACAATTTTATGACACTTTTGGGAAGATGCCCAATAAACTCATTTTTATAGGACACTTGTTCAAATAGTGTCCTATAAAAATGCTAATGGAACATTTTGTTTTATAAATTAAGTCTTATAAAACGATTTATTAAGACGATTAGAAATTTGTGGCGTCCTATAAATCCAATTTTGTTGTAATGATATGAATCGTGTACTTTCAAATTGCCATCAATGATCATTTACCTTTGAATTACTATATATAAACACCAGACACACATGATATAATTCTCTAAACCGTTGAAATACGTTATGAGAGTTATGTCGGAATAAAAAAGAACAACTTTTTTATTCTGTATTTAAATTTATTATCATTTGATTTTACAGAGTTTAACGTGAAGCTGTAAAAAGGTTTTTGTATATGAGAATAAATTGTGTACTTAAATTTTAAGTGATCATGTATTAATAAATGGTATATAATACTTAATCAATTGTTTTCAAGATCTTTTACCAAATATTCTAAAATATAGTATAGATTAGTCAGATATGATATTTTAGATTAATAAAATGTTGGATGTATATGAACCCTCTTCTTCTACCTCTGATAGCCTATTTACATTAGATACGATGACGGGTTTGTATGTTTTATGACAGATCAATCATATTTGTTTACATCACTTTTTATATGTGCTAGATTAGAAAATTACGCACCATTTTAGACCAAAAAGATTTAACGTCAAGAAACTTCGTTCAAAAGATGAGTAGACAATTAAGTAATCAAAATATCGGTTGCTTGTTTACTGATAAAATGTAGTTAAAAAAAACCCTTTGTTTGTAACATAACTTAACATTTATTAAATCTTTAATGACGCGGAACAGATTCAAGAGTTAGCGTATGCACTATAGGAACAATCGGAGAAAGGGAAACGAAGGAGAGAAGTTCAACTTGAAAGGGTCATAACTTTTGATCCGTTAACAGTAACAAGATTTGTAAGATTTGCACGAAAAACTCGTGACGGACCGGCATGATGACACACAATTGACAATAGTTTGGCCCAACCTTTGGCCCGATATCAATTTCGAAGAATTTTTTTTGTCATTTTCAGTGTATATTTATTTCAGTTTAAATAAGCAGATTTTTTGAAATAGGGATTTTCTAATTTACAAGCCTCACATTTACACAAGAATCAGTTATATATGTTTTACACTCTTTGAATCTCTTAATTTTTCCGCTTGTCAAACTTACATTCGCCCCTTAATGGCCGGATTTTATAATTTTGAGCATCGTTCAATTTTTTCTCATATGTGAAAAAATTGTATGCGTTCTTGCTACAGTTTCGCGTCATTTAATGAATGAAAAAACAGATAGAGTAAAAACATATGATTTAATTGATAGATGGGTATCCCTACTAATTATCAGTAGTATGGAAGTACTATTAAAAAATACTTGCCATACAAAATACTGAATGCGTAGTCTGAAATGTGAATTTAAAATATACTATTCAAGTTATATGTGTGAGGAGTCCAGAAGGTTGCACATTGATATAATACTTTGATGCAGAGTGTGGAGTCCGGAATCAAAAAGACGATCTCGCCCTTATAACCTCCAAATATAAAAACCTAAATAAACGACAAAAATAGAACGAGGGTAAACATACTTCTAACGCGGTACATATACATATCAAGTATGAACAAATTAAACAGTTGTAAAAACATGATAGGTCCAGATACTTATGACATTTAATAACACGTTTCAAAGTTTAAATACACGAAAAGTTGATTGGATCTCAAACATAATCTCCCCCCTCCCCTCTATCTATCTCTTTATATATATACATACATACATATATATATATATATATATATGTGTGTGTGTGTGTATGTGTGTGTGTATACATACACATTTTGCTTTGATTCTTTTGAGAATAAGATAAACCAATTTAATTGTTAGACTCCATTATCAATATCTGCTTATAAGATAATTTTACTGAACTCCTCGTTTCTTCATCTTCATCACTAAGCTGTCAAGCTCATCATTCGATACACAGTGTGTTCTAGTTCATCATTTGAAACGTAGTTCTAGTATCATCAAATAATATTCACTACTTGGATATCAGTCATTAGTGTGTGCGGTGTGGTTTGGGATCAAACAACAAAAATCGCATTGCATATACCTCAAACTTCAAGAAACTACACCACCAAATGCGGGTGCAATGTGTTTTATACAGTTTGTACCTATCGCACTTTACACCTGCAATCTAATAATTATAAGATTAAAAATTTATTAATAAATTTATTATAACATGATCGTAGTCCAAACAAATAAAAAATTCAAACATGTTCGTTTCTCAAATACATATTATGTACTAAAAAATAGTCTAAGAATTTCAAACTAAAAATATTACATAAATTAAACCCCCTATTCTATATCTTATACATAAATTTTATATATAACATGTGATGGGGTGCAGTTTAAATTGCAGTTTGCTTAATCAAAACTGTAAATTGCATCGCATAATGCGATTTGGTAAAAATACAAACCACAAGCCACACTGTAGAAATTTTGAACCGCCCTTTAAGTTAGCAACTGTAATCAAAATTGACATTTGATATTGTTAAGGGTTGTTTGTTTACCTCTTAATAGTTCCATTAGAGGTAGCCTCGGAACTGTTAAGAGGTTAATTTTATTTGGAAAAAAAAATCTGCTTCTTAATGGTTCTAAAATTCTTTGAATGATTTTGCATTCTGGACCTTCCTTAACCATTCAGTACCCTAATTTTATTGTAAACAATTATCAAACAATTATATTTTATTTTGCATTATAATCATTCTACATACTTAATCATTTTGTACCAAACTTCATTTAGTAAGTGCCAAACAAGTTTTAAGTTAACAATTATAATAACGTAAACTCCTCATAATAACTTCTAACTCAATGATTATGGATCTCATCATTGCCTTATGTCATTTTCGTTACATATGGCTTTTGTGTACCTTTATATTTTTATTTATTTATCCATTTGAAAACTTTTTTAAATAAGCTTATTTAATAAAAAGTATTACAAAAGAAAGAAAGATAAAAAAGAACAATTGATGCCATAAACTTATATTAATTATTTATGTGTATATATTTTTTAAAGACATATATATATATATATAATAGTATTACCAATATATATATATATATAATATACATACATTATATATGTATATATATAAATAATAGGTAAACTATGAATCATTATTTAAATAGTATATGTTAATTATAAAAACTATTATTAATACGTCAATCCAATCAGATACGTGTCATTTATTCTAAAAATTATTGTTAAAAAATTAATAAAATAATACTTATATGGTATTTGGTTCGTTTGGAGTCTAACGAAATTTTGAAAAAATTGAAATGATCAATTTATTAACAAAATATTCATGCATTTGGTTTAGTTTTTGTAAGAAATTCGAATTTCATATATGGTATAATGTAAATTCCTCCGCGTTATATTTAGGAAAAACTATTATACTTTTATACATACTCAATTTCAGTATATCTCATCACAATGGTTGTCACCAACACCGTTGTCGTTATTGTCGCCACCAGCACCACCACCATTGTCATTACCACCGTTGTTACCACAATCGCCTTCACCTAACCACCACCATTGTTACCAATGTCGCCGTCATTACCACCACCGTCGTCATCACCACCACCAATACCGTCTCCACCACGACTGGGACCACCGTCACCACCACGACTGGGACCACCGTCACCACAATCATCGCCACCACGAGGTCCACGACTACTATCATCGACACCACTTTTGCCTCCACCCATCACCGATATTATTTGATATATTTCATTCTAATTCGTGTCAACTAAACGCATGTCACACCTGATTAAATTTCATTCAAATTTCATCAATTTACAATTCTGACAGATTCCATTTTGTAAACTAAACACCATCTTAGACATAATAAATTATATATATATATATATATATATATATTATTGATAAATATATAACAAAAATAAAAAAAACGGTATTTATAAATTCAAAGAAGAATGTATTTTCGATACTCTTTTATTCCATAATGGGTCAGATCAAATAAGAATGATAAACATCATGAGAATTTAAGAAACGAAGTTAGAGAATATTTATATGTGAACTCATTTATAATATATATACGTGAACCTTTATGAATAGATTCACATATGCATATTCAAGTAGACTTTTTTTTGGGGGGTTTTCAATATTTCACATATAAACTTTTATTTATTTTTCTATTCTTACTTTATCATGATATTTAACATTTTTATTTGAACATTTTACCATGATATATTTAGAAACTCAATTATTAGTACAAATCATACAAATTAATTAATTTGAGATATTTATGGGAATGACGATGGTTCAGTTATTATGTCTTGGATATTTATGAAATATTATCAGAGTTTAATAATTATGATCAATGTTTTATATTAAGAAACAACCGAGATATTCATTAGACTAGATGGATGGTTAAGACTGGTTTACAAAGTTTGTACTAACATAAAAGTTTGTAAATGATC